CGAGGCGGAGAGCAGGGCGTGGGGGCAGGACCGGTCATCTTCCTGGCCGCCGCCCCGCCCCCCTCGGGGGGCCGGGAGGGTCGTCTCCTGCCGGCTCCGCAGGGTGTCCTGGACGGGCCGGGGCAGGAAATGGAGGCACTGCCCTCAGCACCTGCGCCCCCACATCGTCCTCCCCCACAGTCGGCGCTGCCCGGTCCAACAGTGGGTGCTGCCCGGTCAGACACACAGGGAAGGCGGCCGATACCTTTGCCCTCGAGGGGGCCACGGGCCTGAGCCGGGCCTCCGCCTTCCCCTGCGCTCCTGTCCCGGGTCACCCATGCCCCGCCCCCCCGCCCCCACACTCAGCCCGGCTGACTCAGACACCTGGGTGCAGGCTCCTCCCAGGTCCAGGGTCAAGAGAGGTCAGGCAAACTGGAATGACCACTTTCCTCCACATTAAGCAGGTGAACCAGAAACACAAAGGTAATCAATCAGTCACCCAGAGGCCTTGCCCAGGAGGCGCAAGGAGCCCAAGGGAGTGACCTGCTTCTTGGGGGGAGGGGTGGGCGGGAAATGTCTCCTGTGGGTCTGAGCCTGCAGGGGTCGGGGGAGGATCAGGGGATGGGGAAGTTCTGGGAAAGCCCCCGTGTGGGTGCAAGGCTAACCTCCGGGGTCTGCATTAGGCGAGGTGTCTGAGGTCGTCTGCGCTCAGCAAGTACCAGGGGAGGCCCCTCCTCGTGTGCGGCCCTCGGTCAGCACAGGCCCCAGACCACTCGTTGGGGCAGCAAGTCCATGTGAGTCACCAAGTCGCTGCATGGGGCTGGGGGACACACCATGAGAGAGACTCAGATCCTGACCTCAGGGGGTCCCCAGCGAGAGAGGGAGGGGCAAGGCAGAGGTGACCCAGGGAGAGGAGGAGCAGAGGTCAGGGAGGATTTGGCCACAAGGGGCACGTAAAAGATGAAGCGGAGTTTACAGAGGGAGGAGGTGGGCTGGGAGGAGCAGTGCCGCTGGGACCAGGGGCAGCCAGCGCTCACGGGGCGGGGGCGGGGGCACCGACACGCTGGGGGAGCAGGCAGTTGGGGTGAGCTGGAGCGGGGCGCACAGACCAGGGAAGGCCCTGCAGGCCGGCCTCACCAGGCCCTTCCGTAGGCTGGGCCTCCAAACCTGGCTGCACAGCAAACCCTGGGGGGCTTTGAGTGTCAGCTCCACCTGGGCCCCGCCCACACAGCTGCGCACTTTGTTGGGCCGAGTTGGCCCAAAGCTTCCCAAGGGCCCCTGCTGTGCAGCCAGCCAGCGGGGAGGGATGTGGCCGCAGGATCGAGGCCCCCTTGGCCGCTGGAAGCTGGGGGTGAGGCTGGAGTTGGGAGGCTGCGTAGTGAGGAGCCCACAGAGGGTCCTGCAGCCACCTGCCCTAAGGACACCTGGGAGCTGGTAGAGGCCTGGGCAGGGAGTAGAGGAGAAGGAGGGGCCTGGCTCTCTGTGCAACCTCCACACTTGGAGGACGGGGAAACCGAGGCTCAGGACAGCGACGTGGGCGAACAAGCCCCCTTGGTGACTCCTCTCCACTCTCCCTGCCCAGACAGATCCGCATCAAACCAGCTTTTTCCCGATAATTTCCAAGACAAATACTTTGGTGAGGGTGGAGGTTGAGAGAGTTTGGAAACTGAGTTTCACAGGAACGAGCTGAATGTCGGCGATCCTGCACCACGAAGCAGCGAGGGCAGGGCCTCATCTTGCTCTGGGCCCGCTCCTGGGGAAGGCGGCAGAGAGCCCCGGAGCAGGGCGGCTATTTGCAAACCTTTCTCCGGGCGAAGCTTCTCATCTGGCCGGCAGCCCTTGGAGCTCCTGGGCCTTGCATCTACGTGACTCCAATTCCTGCCTCTGCCATCACATGACCTTCTTCCCTCCGTGTGTCTGTCCCTTCCCAGGACACCAGCCACATTGGATTAAGGGCTAACTCTACTCAAGCCATGGCTTCATCCTCACTTACTCCCTCTACAATGACCTACTTTCTAATAAGGTCCTCTTCTGAGGTTCCGGGAAGGACATAGCTTTTGGGGGACACCACTCGACCCAGTACATCGGCGCAGCGCCGATGACCGTGAACGCCTGGCATTGTGGAAAGCCTTCCGCTGGCTTCACTTTGATTCCTGCTCCTGTCTTTCATTGGCTCTGTGACCCCTGGGACAAGTTCTGCTGTAACCGGGGATCAATATTCCAGGAAATGCTGATAACACTGTCGCCGGTCCGAGGCGCAGAGAGCACTAAAAGGTGGCGAAGGTGCAGGGAGACCCGCGGCGGAGCGGGTCCAGCCCTGGAGGGCCCCCGGCGCTCAGCACCGACTGCCGTTCCTCTCCCTTCTCTTCCCTCCAACTTCCCTGCTGCCTTCTCTGCAGCAGATGCTCTAAGGCACAGCTGCGCCCGGGCATTGAGAAGCAAGCAGACAGGAACATGACAGGGTTGAGCCAGAGGCCTGTGGGAGCCTGGAAAGCTTCTGGGGGAGGTGGTGCTTAAGATGAGGCAATGAGACAAAGGGGCTTGCTTGCTCAGCCCAGCGGTCTCCGGCACGGGCCCCAGGCCGGCAGCATCGGTGCCCTCTGAGTTAGGAACCCTGGGGCAGGGCCCTGGCCCCAAGGGAGGCTGAGAGCTGGAGCCAGACAATCTTCCAGGTGGTTCTGACACTGCTCCAGAGTGAGAACCGCTTGTCCAGGCAAAGGCGGGTGGAGGGGCGGTCATTCTCCCGACAGAGAATTGAAATGTGAAAAAATGTGTAATGAGAATTTCATGACTTTCGTTTCTTTTCGTTCTTAACTCTGCCACATTCCAAAGTATGACTGTGTCCCTTTGACTGGAAAACAGAAGCCAAGCCCATGGCACTTGTCAAGCTGGATTCCTGAAATTTTTCTCGCTGTTTTGTGATTGGGTCAACAGGATAGGAAGTGAACTTATCTCTCTCTCTCAAATTTTTGTGTTGAGCAGTGCTTTCTTTTTTCCATTTGAATGAAGTTGAATTTGCATTTTAAACAGAAGACATTCTGAAATAACAAATAAAAGAATAAAGATATACAATTGTAAGTCACATTTGAAAAACTTATCCAGAGTGCCTGGGGTTCAAAATACACTGTGAAAGTCCACAGCTTTTATTCAATTCATCGTTCAATTCGCCACTTCATTTCTTTACTAAAATTTTACAACCAGCTATATTCCAGTTATCTTAATACTACTACTCAGATATACACTAAATTATTCATTCTCAAATGGATCCATTCATTTAGAATGTAGGATTAGGTAATTAACTTGTGCATAAAAATGAAAAGAAAACCCAAACAAATTGATCAGATGGTATAAGGTTTTATGGGGCTTTAGTAATTAGCTTCAGAATATCCCTTGGCCCTGGCCGGGCAGCTTGGTGGGTCGGAGTGTCATCCGGGCACCGGGGTTTCGGTTGGGTCCTCAGCTACCGTGCAAGAGGCAACCGATGAATGAGTGGATGGGTGAAGCAGCAAAGTGATATTTCTCTCTCAGATCAATAAATTAAAAAAAAAAAATTCCTTTCAGCTCAGTTTCCAGAACTAATGAGCTTCTCTTCAGCTATTGCTAGATAGAGCTGTAGCCAGTGTTGCATGTGAAGATCTCTTATTTACCTTTTTAAGAAAATTTAATTTATTGGGGTGACATTGGTTAATAGTTATATAGGTTTCAGGTGTACAACTCTGTATCATCTGTATATTGACTATATTGTGTGTTCACCACCCCAAGTCTCCTTCCATCAAATTGACCTCCCTTTACCCTCTTCCACCTCCCCCCACCGCCCTTCTGTCTGGTGAGCAGCCTGCTGTTGTCGGTGTCTGCAAGGCTTTGTTTTCTCGTTTTTTGGCTTCATCCCTTCACCTTTTTGACCTTGCCCTGCAATCCTGCTCACCTCTAACAGCTGTCCGTCTCTGTTCTCTATGATGTTTTTATTTTGCTCATTAATTTATTTCATTCATTAGACTCCACATGTAAATGAGATCATATGGTGTTTGTCTTCCTCTGACTGGCTCATTTCACTTAGCATAATAATTTCCAGGTCCATCCACGCTGTCACAAAAGGTAGTATTTTCTTTTACAGCCAAGTAGAATTCCACTGTGTAAACGGGACAGAGTTTTTTATCCACTCATCTACTGATGGGCACTTGGGCTGCTTCCAAATCTTGGTAATTTGCTGCAACAAACATAAGGGTGCATATATTCTTCCAAATTAGTGTTTCAGGACTCGTAGGATATTTTCCCAGAAGTGGGATCGCTGTGTCAAAAGGCAGTTCTGTCTTTAATGTTTTTGAGGAAACTCCATACTGTTTTCCGCAGTGGCTGCACTAGTCTGCATTCCCATCAACAGTGCACTAGGGTTCCCTTCTCTCTTCATCCCTGCCAAGGTTTATTGTTTGATTTATCTCATTGGGATCACAATGAGACAGATATCTCATTGCGGTTTTCCCTTGCATCTCTCCGATTACTGACGCGGAGCATCTTTTCACGTGTCTTTTGACCATCTGCACGTCCTCTTTAGAGAGGAGTGATGTTGAAGCAAATTTTTTGATAGGTGCCAAGCTCTGCTCAGGCCTTTAGGGACACCTAGTTGAATAAGACCCCGCCCCCTCCCACCCCCTATCCGCAGAGCCCTGATTCTGACGAGGAAGGGTCTGTTAGGGTTTGCCCAGGGATGCCACAGCCTTTGCATACATAATTGCCATAGCATCTTCTTTCCGTGTATGTATATCTCGTTTCTGTCTTAAAAACATTTAATTTAGACGACCTCTAGGAGGAGAGGGTACAGCAGAGGCACTCTTCCCAGAGCCAGGGCAGCAGAGAGGCGTGGCCAGGCTGGGCCGGAAAGGGAACCGCCGGGAGCGTGCGTGCTCGCGCTCGTGTTCGTGCGCGCGCTCCGCGGAGGAGCTGGCCGCATCGTTCTCCGTTGACGTGCGCGCGCCCGCGCTCGTGGTACTAGCGGCGTGACCGTAAAGAGGCACGGCCGTGTCGTGAACGGGGCCGCGACACGCAGGGGACTGGTTGACGGCCGCGACTCCATTTTGTTCGCCGCTTCTCTGCTCGTAAGTCGCGTCTTGCCGTGGCTTCTCTGAGCCGGAAAGTTTAAAAAGGGTAAAAGTTTTCAAGAATATTCTGGAACTCTGTTGTTAAGCCTAGCGACTCTCCATTTTCTCTCCGCAGCAGACGCCGAGACCGGTTCCGGAGGAGCGGCGAGGATGCGGCCCTTGGACATCGTCGAGCTGGCGGAACCGGAGGAAGTGGAGGTGCTGGAGCCCGAGGAGGACTTCGAGCAGTTCCTGCTGCCCGTCATCAATGAGATGCGGGAGGACATCGCGGCGCTGACGCGGGAGCACGGGCGCGCGTACCTGCGGAACCGGAGCAAGCTGTGGGAGATGGACAATATGCTCATCCAGATCAAAACGCAGGTGGAGGCCTCGGAGGAGAGCGCCCTGAACCACCTGCAGAGCGCCGGCGACGGCGGCGAGGGCCGGGCGGCCAAGCGGGGCGAGAAGGCCGAGGAGAAGGCCAAGGAGATCGCGAAGATGGCAGAGATGTTGGTGGAACTGGTCCGGCGGATAGAGAAAAGCGAGTCGTCCTGAGCGAGGGTCGGCGGTAAGGCGGGGGCCCGCGGGCGCCGGGTGGAAGGCTACCCCCGGCAGGCGCCCTACCCTGGGCTCATTTTTTGGAACTTACTTAATAGGGGTCCTCGCGGGAGGGAGGTTGGGGGGAGGGGAGGAGAAACGCATGCTCAATTTTTACTGTAGGAGGTGTCAGAAAATGCTATTAATTTCTTCTACGTTGGTAATTAGGAAGAAAACAGTTTTTCTTGGTTTGGTATGTGTTTGCTTAGTTGTGGCATAATGAGCGTAACAGTTGCTATGGCAGCTAGAGCACAACGTCGGTCGTGGAGTAAGGGGGCAGCGAATTAGACTTTTCAGGGGGCAGGTCATTATCTGACGGACAGTCGGAGACCTTCCTTGCCAGCCTCCGGGAGCGGGAGCGGGTGAGGTGGCGTCCAGACGAGGGGCGTCCAGGTTGCGGGGTGGGTTCCAGTTGTGAGGGATTTGGATTTCACTAACGATTGGCCTCATAATGATGGGTTTTCTTCCAATTGCCTTCCTCAGGTTTACAGCCAATGGATTCTGGTCCACTCATGGAGATTGGCTGACACCCTGGAGAAGCTGAAACCAGAGAGCCTTTTGTTTTCTCCCTTGTTTTCTCTGTCCTCTGTCCTCATTTACACTACGTTTCTGCTGTGGTCTGCGGTTGATGACCTCAATATGAGTTTTGACTGTCCGATGTTTTTGTTTGGGGAAGTAGGGCCTAGATTGTAAGCTCTTGCAGCAGTCCCGTTTGTTCCTGGGCTTTGGTTATTTCTAAATGTTGAGGCGCTTTGCTCTTTTCTCGTGTGACCTGATAGCTCCCTGGAACTTTGGGTCTGTGTGTGACACATGAGGCTCAGAGTTGGGGTTCTCCAGCTCTGGAGGCGCTGAAGGAGCTGCTTGACTTCTGAAGACGACTCCATGCAGCAGTGGCTGAAGAAGCTGACGGAGGGACCAGACTTCAACTGGGAACGGGAGTGGGCCCGTCTGGCCGGGCTCATGGATCAGAAGAAGGTGGAAGATGGCGTTGTCTGTGTTTTGGGACTCGAAGTTCTTTCTGTGTGAGACCAAAGGAGGAGAGGTGTATTTTGTTCAAAACTTAAGTTTTATCAGGCACACTGTCCGGTGTAGCCTGTCTGGTCAGTTTGTTTGGACAACCTAACGCAGCTTTACCTGACATGGAACCTAGAGTAGGAGGTGAGATCTTGCACCCCGCACACCGTGCTTCGATGCCCTGGTGCGGTGCAGAGGGTAAAGTGGAAGAGGTACTGGCCAAGGCCCATGAGAGGCTGTGGAGGGAAAGCAAGGACTGTCTGCATTGGACCCTAACATGGACAGGGACTAGGCATCTTTAAGGTTCATAAGTTGTCCAGCTCTAAGTTCATTTGAGTAGCAGACCTGACACGTCTTTGAGGTCAAAACCCTACCATGTGTTTTAAAAAAAGTTACCATGTTAATAAAAGTATTCATTTGCTTGAAAAGACAAATGACCAAAGGAGTTATTGACTAAGAAATTTTGCTTTTGGAATGAAATCTTTCTCCTTGTCATCATCGCCAAATGGAGAACAAATTTCTGAACACTTTTTTTTTATGCTCTCAGCAAGCCTCTAATGTTAGGGCAGGTTCGTCTCCGCGCGCCGCACTGGGAACCGAGTGAGGGGAGGAACCTCATGTTCTGCGGTCCAGGCTCCTGCCTTCAGGAGCCAAATACATTCCTATTTCTACCTTGAAAATAGAAACAATTTAGCTCTAGTCCTTGCACTAGGAACAAAGTGGTCCGTCATGGTGAGGTGGCGGGGTGAAGGACTTACTCCCCCGCCAGCTGCAAGTGTGGCTGACGGGTGGCCCTCGCTGGTGCGCCCACTGAGCACGGCCTCCGCCTCAGAGCTGCCTTAGCCACGGCCAGGCCCCTTTCCTGGTGGCCGTGCCCGTGAGGAAGGGGCCGGGGTCTAAGGGCCCTGTCCCTCTGCACCTTGGGACAACTCTGAAGGACCTCTCCGCTTCAGAGCCAGCTCCCTGGGGGGTCTGCAGATGCTTCCATTACGGCTCCGTGACAGCCCTGCAGCTCCTGTGCCCCATCTGGGTTTCCCCGCCCCGCCACAAGTATTAACCCCGACGGGGCTCCCTGCGCTGCAGTGTCCATCAGTCCGCTTCCGGGGGAGCCCCGCTGACAAATGCAACCAGGAGAAAGTCAGTCTGGGTTGTGTGTCTTACGGGAGCACTGAGGGGGCATTCAGAGCAAGAAAGTGGGGAGCTCGGCCGGAGAGAGTGAGGACAGCTTCCATGGGCCAGGAGACACAAGGGTCCCAGGCCCAGGGACGGTGGGAGGAGGCCCGAGACGGGATTTGGGAGCCTGCCCGAGCGCCGAGGAGAACCAGGAAACCACTGCCACCGACACCGCGTTTGGTTCATTTGTTAAAACGGGAATAAGCGTTGGTACAATGCTGTGAACTAGACTACAGGCTTGATTCTCGTTTCACCGGCTTTCCACTCAGGCCCTTTTTCTGTTTTAGGGTACCACGTTGCATTTGGCAGTCGATTTTTAAAGTAGGTAATAAAAATGGCAAAAAAATCAAAGATGCAAAAGTGATCTCCACTCCCCAGCTTCCCCGTTCCCCTCCGGGAAGACAGCTGTTTACAGTGTCGTGCATCCTTCCTTTCAAATGTGGGTGTTAGGGCACATACAGAGAGAACGCTCCCCGACTTTTTTAAAGCTTTTGATTTCTGTTACATAAAAGATAACATACATAACATGCGAATGGCCTTAGTTTTGTGTTGCTTTTTTCACCTGCACCATAGTTTGAAGCTCTGGCCAGGTAGCTCGGTTAGAGTGTCACCCCAGTATGCCAAGGTTGCAGGTTCAATCCCCGCTCAGGGCGCGCACAAGAATCAACCAGTAAGTGCATAAAGAAGTGGAACCTCAAATGAAAGTCTCTCTCCCTTCCTCTCTCAAATCAATTAAAAAGAAAAACAAACCTTACCTTGAAAATCTTACTCTATGTAAACATCTAGATCTACCTTTTTAAAGAAAAAAACAACAAAACTGGCTGCATGTGTTCACTGTATTATAAATGTTATGTATCAGCGAGAGCTCTTACACCAGTCTGAGAACTATTGTCCGAAATTATTTTCTAGTAACTTCTTATCCTCTCCTTGCGATTCCAGCCGCAACTGCAAACCTGCCACCTAGTCCCGATTTCCCAGCTCCGTAAGTCTGTCCGGGCTTGCCAGTGATTGGAGAGGCGACTGAATCGCTTGCGTTTTCCTAAGCAAAAAGCCGGAAGGGGAACCGTTCCGAGAGGCCAGGCTGAGTGGCTGGGGCTGTGGGTGTTGGTCACGGCAGATCCCGTTGTCTGTCCCTGTCGTGGCAGCCCTTCAGCACTCAGGTCCCGGGTGCTGTGCAGAAGGGGGGCTCCTGGAGGGGTTCCTGACACTGCAAAGGCTGCCTGAGGCTGGGACCTCTCTGCTCCGGTAGCGCAGGTGCGACAAGTGTCCTTTCATGCCGGAGTGGTGTGACGGGAGGAATCGGGAGGTGCGGGAGCGTGGAGGGAGAGGCAACGAGCTCCGATGAGAAGTGGTAGCAGAGGGTCAGAGTCCCCTCCGAGCCCGAACCCAGCGGGGGAGACGGCACACAAGGGAGCATTGCAGAGGCTTCTGCTTCCAGATGGGCCTTCAGCCGTGACCCCTGGGGGGGAAGGACATTACGGGAGGACTGGCAACAGCCAAGGACACAGTCAGCCCTTGGCCGGGGAGGGGAGGCATTGACAAAAGTAACCTTCCCAAAGATAAAACCCCAGAACGGCCCTGGCGGCCGCTCAGTTGGATGGAGCGTCACCCAACAGCAAAAGTCTGTGGGTTTGAACCCTGACCGGGGACACAGAGGCTGTGGTTTAGGTCCGCGGTCGGGGTGGGTATGGGAGGCAACCGATTGATGTTTCTCTCTCTCTCCTCTCTCTCAAACATATTCTAGGGTAAGGATTAAGAAAACAACAACAATCCCTCCCAATCCGGGCTGCCCTGGAACAGGGGCTGGGACACAAGTCCTGGCTCCCAGATCCCTGCTCCCTGCGTGACCCTGAGCAGGCGTGGCTTCGGGAACTCACACCAGCCCGGCGTAAACTGCTGTGGGGCAGCGGGCGCTGTGGGGTTCCCAGCCTTCCTGGCATGTGGGGGTTGCCCTCCCGCGCCCTGGGGGTGCTGGCGGTGGCGGTGGCGGGGTGTGTGTGTGACCGATTCTGGTCACTGAACTATGGAAGAAAGTCACATCCACGCCAGGACCTCTAACGAGAGACCCTCTGGAGCCCTCCCCCGCCCCAGCTCGGGGACCAGCAACACGGGAGGCTGGTGGTTGACCATCAGCCTGTGATCCTGGGGTGAGGAGTTAAAAAAAAAAAAAAGGCAAAAAACAATGAGGGGCCAGAGAGGTTTTAAAAAGTGCCGGTGACAGGGACGGAGCTGGTTTGCTGTGAGCACAGCCCCAGCCACCCCGGGGGTGAGTGGCCCAGGGGCGTGGAGGAGCGTCTGCGCGTCTGCGCGTCTGCGCGTCTGCCGTGAGGAAGCCCCGGGCCGCGAGGCCGGGTGCAGGACGCTGGCCGGGTGAGCAGGGAGCCCTCCCAGGGAGGCGCGGGACACGGGGCGGGAAGGAAGACTGGGCACCAGGCGCCAAAGGGTAGAGTAAACGTGGAGGGGGCCCGATGGGGGGCGGGGGCTGGGGGTGGGGGCGGACAAGGGAGTGGGGAGGACAGTCGCATGAGCGGCGAGTGCTCCCACGGAGAGCCATTTTATTATTTTTTATTTTTGGAGTGCCATTTCAGACACGAGGGAGGGCGAGGGCTGGTGTCGCAAAGGCCAGGGGAGAAGGTGGCCCCAGCCCCTGAACAAGGCACGAAGGACAGACGTGGGGGAGTGAGCGGCTTTCTCTTTCCAGGCCCGAGGCCGAAGCGGCGCCATTGTGTGGGGACAGTCCAGCCGGGGGCAAGGGGCAGGGCAGCGGCGGGGCAGGGGCCGTCAGCAGCCCCGCAGGCGCGGGAGGCGGGCGGGGCGGGCGGGCACCGCGGGAAGCCTGCATGCCAGCCCTGGGGCTGACTTCTCCTCCTTCATCACGGGAGGGCGCGGGGGTCAGGTGGTAAATGTGGTCCTGAACTTAGTCTCTCCGTGTGGGGGGCAGAGCCTTGGCGTGACCTCCATGGTAGAGCCAAAGAAGTGGCAGCTGGACGTTGTCACTCAGCTCTGCTCCCTACAGCATCTTTTTTGAAGGAGACCTGAGAGGCCCCCACCACTGGACATTGGGGGCTGAAAATGGGAAGGGTTTCTGCATCCCCGGCGGAAGCTGTTGGGAGAAGGCTCTGGACGAAGATGTCTTAGCGAGGAGACCCGACCGAGGGCCTGCGGCCGGTCTCAGGCACCTCCTCAAAGGCTCTCCACGCAGTGGCTGTCAGCCAGGCGGCAGCAAGGCCGGCTTGCAGCGGCCCCCTTCCTACCAAAGGCGGTCGTTCCACACGGGCATCGCCGAGTTGACAGAGTAGGGGAAGGACGGAGCAGAGGCCAGTCAATGAAACCACCAGACTCTTCAGGGGCTTTTTGGCTGTGATCACTGCCACTGGCCCTGACCGGGAGCAAGCAGACCGGGAGCGCCCGTGGGTTTTGAAGACGTTGTATCGCCAACGCGGCTCCAAGCCGGGCGTGGTGGCTCAGCCTCTGGGGGCGCCCCGCAGCCCGGCGCCCGCGGGGGCGCGGGAAGCGCCTTCCGCGGCGGCATCGCCCCAGGGCGGCGCGCTGGCTGCGGCGCCTTTCGGAAGTGGTCTGGGGAGCGAATAGACTCCCCGAGCGCTCCTCCCAGGGGACGCCACCCGGTGGGCCCGGGCTCGGCGGGGCGCCCTGCTCTCCTGCCCGGGCCCTCTGACGGGGTCCGGGGCTGGAGGCGCTGGGCGCTCCCAGCCGCCCCTTTTCCGAATGGAAGGCTCATGCCGCTGTCCTCCCCCGACTCCTCGCCGCGCACAGACCTGCCCTCGGGCAGCCCAGGCGCGCAACTCTCCCCGCGGACGGGAGAGCCCACGGAGGCTGCAGCCGTACAGCTCCGCAGGGCGCGGACACGGGTCAGGCCCCGCTTCGGGCCGTTCCGACGGTTAGCAGCGAGCCCAGCCCGCGCTCCAGGGGAGGGGACCACATTCCACCTCCTGACCAGAGAAGCAGCAAAACATTTGCGGACATGGTTTTAAAACTGCCACAGCTGTTACCATTACATTCCAACGACCCGATGCTTCTGAAACATCAGAGGTTCGAATCTCTAAAGATAAATCGTCAGCCTTCGTGGTAGAGTTTAGCAAGGTTTGGAGACACAAAATCAGTACACGAAAGTCAGGAGTGTTTCTGTTCACCGGGAACAAAGAGAACATAAATTTTCTAAAAGGTGTCGTTTATAATAGGACCGAAACAACTTTAATGGCATATTATTTTCTAGGGATGCCATAATTGCCACACACTGAGT